CAAGGTAACCTTTGAATTTTTAAAAGAAAAGACTTACATTTTCTGAGAAGGAGGCTAGCCATCCATTAAAATTTACAGCCCATCACCGCCGCCGCCGGTGACCACCTTTATTTTATTTTATTTTATTTTGAGTGTTAGTTTGTATTGTGAGAGAAGCAAGAGAATTCAAAAGAAACTTCAAGACATTTGGTGGAGAGAATTTGAGATAAGTGTTTATCTTTGTGTCTACACTTGGTTTTAATTTAGATTTCTTGTTTGTGTACATGATTTCTACTTTTAAACTCATGTGTGGTTGTGTTGTCTCCATAAAGTCTGAGTAGTTTTTTTTATCTTTTTCCTTAAAATGATAAGTGATTAAATATTTAAAGGAAGTTGTGTGAAGTATTAGGCTTCAATGTTAGAAGAAGCTGTGATGATTTGAAACCCTGCACTTCATTTACTTCTTGATTTGGTCAATTAAGATGTTAATACATGTTGTGAGAACATGTAAGATCTGAGATGGTATTGTCTCAGTCAACAAATGGTTTGAATCACATATTGATTTCATGAATGAGAATGTAGTTCATGGGGTTGAGTACAAATAAACAGGAAAATATATTTTAAAGGGTGTAGAATTAGATGACTTTAGAGTGACAGTTAAAGCCCCCAATTTAATTTATAATTTTAGGTTTTAATACACAATGTTAGCCTTCAGGTGGAGGGAGAAGAGGGAACTCTAAGGTGAGAGCTAGTATCTTCCCTGCCTAGCCGGTCTTCAAGACTATTTAAACTATAAACTAGCCAATGTTCTTTATAACATCTCTTGTAAAGGTAAAGAATATTATTGCTCCTAATTGGCATAACACATTTAGCATACTTCCACAACAGAATTTTTACATTTATCACTGATTCATGATAAAAAAAAAGATATTTTATTTATATTGCTTTCATCTTGCAAGTATTTTAGTTAAATTAATTAGTTGCTTACTTTATTTTCAATTATGAAAAATTACAAAAAGAATCAAACTTTCATTCCTATTTTAGCATCAAAAGTTTAAGTAAGAATATATTGCTAAGTAAAATTTTGTTATATAAAATTAGTCCTCCCGGTGGGATCGATATTTGGGACTTAATAAGAAAGTTTTATATTACTTGATAGTCATACGTATACTTACGTAGTATCCCATATTGAAATATTATAATTGCATTCTTATTTGTTTTATAGTGAAAGATTGACCTAGTTTTTTTGTTGATCAAGTTTTTGACTCTATTGCAAATTAAAAATATCTAATAAGGAATATAATCACATACATCGCATTTTACATCTATATATATAGAAAATCGGGATCGCTTTCCCTCCTTTATGATGACCAGAAGATAAATTAATTAGCACTCTTCCTAAATTACTTGGTTGCTACTCTGTAGAACTCACCTTGTCCTTTGCATTGGAAGAAGGGATCTCCACGGCATGCCAAACCCACTAAGTAACCAACTGACATCAATCTCCATAAGTATATATTGTACTTTTATTTATAGGCTCTTTAACTTGGCTTTCATGACTCCACTCCAACTTTCTATGATCCACGCATGATCCACATGTCAAAAGTCCAAAATTCACAAGAGGCCAACCATTGTGTACTATTATTTATAGGCTCTTTAACCTGGCAGCTTCTGGCACCTTAGCTCACAGTGGCTAGCATCTTGACTCCAAGCTCTCTATATGCTAAAGAGAGGATGTCTAGCATCCAAGGGGTCCGACACATAGGTGTCAACCTCTCAGGTTGGTAAAGCAGGGACTGACGCTTATGTGCCTAATGTTCCAACTTTTAGGTGCCAGTGTCACTTTGCACTTTTAGGTTTCAAGTCTTGTCATGGTTTCCCCACATCAAATATCTATTGCATTTGCAAGATAAACACAAAAATACATTTTTCTAAAATGCAACTTCATCTATAAAAATATATATGTATATCAAAAAATACTAGTTAACTTATCTACACATCAACAGGGTTGACGAGTCCACCACAACCCTGTCCTCACTCGGGTCAGGATCTGCGAGTGTCTGGAGAAGCAACTTCGGTGACTGCTCCTTGGATCCCTTAGAAGAAGCAACCCGATTGACCAGCTCAAGGCCATCCTTCTTTCTCCTCTTCTCCCTTCTAACCGCTTTCTTCCTTTTGAACCAGATGCCGGAGCGAGGGTGGGGGGGGGGATATCTTGCTAGGGCCAATAGGCTCAGGTCGACCGTCTTTTTACTCGTACCGCCCGACATGATGCTTACTTTGTATTATAAAATAATCGGCAACAGATGAGTAACCTAATTTTTGGCCTTAATTATAAGACACACTGGTCACGAAAATAAAGAGAAAATTAATTTTTAAATTATTCTTTTTTGGTTGTCGTAACACGATTAACTAATAATTTTCCTGTGCTTACGTAGCTGACACCATCAAGGATACAATAAACTCAGGGAACTAATATTTAAACACTGAAACTATGGTACAAATCTCAACAAAAATGAATGACTCAGAGTACAAAGTTTCTCTCCAGAGCAAGTGATTGATCGATAATTCAACGCCAAGTGTGATAATCCACATTTCTAAACCAGAAATAGGTTAAAGCTCCGAAGATTGTCCATTACTCAGTAGCGGTAAGATCCTCCAAGGATAAGGCACAAATCTTTCAGCAGCGAGTTTCGTGAAATACTCCGCACAGACAATGACTAGATTTGCTCAAGACCTTGCAAGAAGGAAGATCAGGCCGGGGCAGTAGGCCGACCAGACAGAAAAGACACGGGCTCTGTAAAACTCGAGCTAAACAACAAGTGAGCCACGACTCGTCCAACAAAACAAGTTGAAACATCAGTTGACTGCTTGACTGACATGATTGGTTAGTGTTGATCGATAACATTCAAGCTCATAACTCATTGTAAATCAATGTTTTTTTTAACATTATGACGACCATTAATTCAAATTATACGGACTGAATCGTGTAAGGAGCGGTTTCCGTAACAGTTCTCACATCTCTTAATTGTACTAGTTAGATTCATTTAAATAGACGGTCCCAAGATAAATAAAGAGACTCTTTCCTCTCTTTCGGAGTGGGGAAAATTTTCGTGATGTCTTTTTGCGATCTTGCCCCGAGAGTCAGAATTGAAAGATGAGAGAGAGAGAATAAGAACCCACGAATACACACACACACACACACACACACACATATATACAAATATATACAAAGATATATACACATATCTATGCACATAAATGTGTATATATCTTTGTATATATTTGTATATATATGTGTGTGTGTTTGTATATGTGCATAGATATGTGTATATATCTTTGTATATATTTGTATGTGTGTGTGTGAGTGTGTGTGTGTGTGTATATACAAATATATGTATATATATACATATACATATATATATATATATA